ACAACAAGGTTGAATGCTCATTTTGGTCCCTCAACTCTATCAGTTTGCACATTTTTGGTCCCTAAAGTATTTTGTGCATATTTTTTTATCCTTTAACTCTAAAAAATGCACAACTTTTGTCCTTCTATCAATTTGGGCCGTTAACTTCATCACGTGGCATTTTTTATATTTTTTTTGATGATATAGCGAAAACAACTTAAAAAGGTGATGATGTGGATTTTTTTCTATGACATGTCCCACATATACCAAATTAGATTAATATTTATATTTTTAATAAAAAATAAAAAACTACAAATTTACCTTAATACCCCTATCTCCCTTTCTTGATCCATCTTCTTCCCCTCTTTCGATCCATCTTCTTCCTTTCTTTCTTCCTCTTCTTCCTCTGTGTTGCTGGGTTCCCTCAAGTCCAGCTGATCTGGGTTCAAGGGAACCCAACTTGGGTTCAATGGAACTCATCTGCTAGGTTCCATCAAACCCAGATTTGCTGGGTTCGAGGAACTCAGCGCTAGGTTCCATTGAACCTAGAACCCAGATTTGCTGGGTTTGAGGAACTCAACAACTGGGTTCCACCAAACCCAGCTCCACTTTTTTTATTAATTATATATTTGTTGCGAGAGTTTATGCAAATTGCAGGTTGTGAAGGATTTTTGGGATCCTTTTGGTTCATATTTTCTAACTATTATCTAAATGATTTTAATGTTCAAAATGGAAAGAATATCGCCAGTGATGGAAAGAACAGAAGTAGTGACCGATGGGCAAAGAAGAAATTTTTAGTGAGTTTCCATTTGATTGGCTAGAAAATTGTCCAGTTTGGGTGTTTGGCTATTGAGAAAATGGTTTCAATCTGTTTTGTTAAGAAATTATAGTTTAATGATGATTAATTAGTAAAATCTGTGAAAAATCTTTATAATCCCAGCAAATGTAGGGTTTCGAGTGAACTTTAAAGGAGAACGAACAAGGTTCGTGGTTTTTACAAGTAACGTGAGACCCATTGGAAGGGTTTTGGCGCAGGAAGATTATATGTCATAAAAAAAAAGTCGTTGTCTTTTCCATGTCATAAAAAAAAATATAAAAAATGTCACGTGACAGAATTAACGGCTCAAATTAATGAAATGACAAACGTTGAACATTTCTTAGACTTGAGGGATAAAAAATATGCATAAAATACTTTAAAAATCAAAAATATGCAAACCAATAAAATTAAGAAACCAAAATGAGCATTTAACCAAAACAGAAAGGGTACTTCCACCATAAGGAGCAGTACTTTGCAGGCGTGCAAATGAAGGAATTTCACTATTTCAGGCACTTTTGAGCAGTTGCAATGATGCCTCAGGCGCTTTAAGAAGCACCAACCATGGGCCCCCAAATATAGTATTGAGAAATACATTGTTCGAGCGAACTTTTTTGTGCTCATAGATAGCCCACTTTGCAAGCACTCATCTTGAGTGCCTATAAGCATCTACTTTCTTGGCACCTAAAATTTTGCGCGTCTGAATTCAATTCTAATCTACATTTTTTACTGTTTTCTCCTATTTTTCATATTAGTTGTCCCCAGATTTTTTTTATATCATACTAGATTTCAATCCATTTAAAATCTATTTAATATCAAAACACTCAAAATTAACTAAATATGTATTCATTCATATTTCCAATTAACCAAATATCCACACAAGTACAATATTTTCACCAAATATTTTCGACCAAACTGTCATCACCAAATTATATATGGTGATAATGTGTTAAAAAAAACCAAAACCAAGCATCAAAGTATAAATTGAGCCTTAGTAAAATATTAAAGTTGAGTTTGGAAACTTGAATTTGAATTTGATGTGTGTAATTAAAATATATGTATTTTCAAATACATTGCTTGGATTAAATTAAAAAAATAAATTTTAAATACATACATGTTGTGTTTGGGAATTTAAATTTGAATTTGATGT